TAAAACTTTTGGCTCCACAAGCCTGGTTGTTGCACATGTCTGATCATTAATCTAGTCACATGCTCTTTGGCTTGTTTGCCATGCTTTTATGAAACTAAACAAGAATATGTGATAGAAGTTCAAGCATATATTTTCTTACAGTTTCAAAAAAAATTAGACTTGTATAATTAGGAATTAGGAAATGAAATAAGAAGCAGAATTAAAATCATAAGAACTGAAATTAATTTTAAGAGAACTGATTTAAAACTGAAATAGGAATTATTTTAAAAGTAAAATTAGAATTAGAAATTAAATCAACGCTACAAGAAACTGAAATAGAAATTATATTTTGACATTTAATATCCCTGGTGCAAGAGATTTTTCTTATCCTTAAAGTCTTTGTATAAGAGACTTATTACAAGACAGAAGTCTAACACAGTACACATCTAACCAAAGGTTTTGAGGAAAAGGTATATCAAGATGGAGTTTTTTTTTTACAAAAAAAACTTTTTTTTCTTCAAAAGCAGATTTTACAAGGCAGCAAGACATCAGTAGGTTGTTTTAAGTTACATATTACCAATAGTAGGTAATCATGATAAAACAAAACCTGACCTAAATATTATATATATATATATATATATATATATATATATATATATATATATATATATATATATATATATATATGTATATATATATATATATATATATATATATATATATATATATATATATATATATATATATATATATATGTATATGTATATGTATATATATATATATATATATATATATATACATATATATATATATATACATATATATATATATATATATATATATATATATATATATATATATATATATATATATATATATATATATATATATATATATATATATATATATATATATATATGTATATATATATTTATATATATATATATATATATATATATATATATATATATATATATATATATATATATATATATATATATATATATATATATATATATATATATATAAATATATATATAGATATAAATATATGCATAAAATATATTAAGGTGACTCTTTAAACAACATTTTTTGATAATGTCTGCTATGAACACATAAGTGTTTTCTATAATAAAATAATAATGGATTTAAAATGTTCTTTTGATAAAAAAATATTTGTAGAGGTTACTCAAAACTTTTAAACATCAGGGGGTCTCTAATATTATTAAAAAAATGATTCTTCAAAAATATTTTATGTTGGGTCTTCAAAGAAGCAAAATTATATATAATTTTCAAAAACAATCCCCATTTTTTTAAAAAAATATTATTTTATATTTTACTGCCTAGAAAATGACATTTTTTTAAACTTGAAAAATATGCATTTTTACAACATTTTCAGATAAAATTTTTTTTTATTAATGTTTTTTTAAAAAATAAGTTTTTTTTAATTTTATTATTATTTAACTTCTTTTAAGACCTGACTTGATTCATACTTTTGAAGATGTTTTATTTTAAATAATCTGTCTGATTATTTAAAACAAAGGGATCTGTCTGATGTTAAAGATTCTTAAGCGACCCTTAAAAAAATTTTCAATTGAAAGTTATTAATTGAAAATATTTTTAAATCCAGTATTATTTTATTATATGAAACACATTTAGCGGTTCAGAGCAGACTTTTTCAAAAAGTGTTGTTTTAAGAGCAACTCTAATACATATTGCAGTAACAAGAATCAGCTGATTACTAATATTTATGATATAATATTGGTACTCAAGTTTCATGCACACTCACTGAATTATAACGTTTTTATAACAAGTGCAGGATTGAAATAGGTGCTGGACATTGGTCCCCCTCAAACCTTGTTTAAGACCTGCCAGAGGGGAGCACCAATAATTGGTAATTTTTTCTGAAAAAATTAAATTAGATCATTTTTATGGTGTGTTTTAAAGTACAAATGACGAATTTGCTGAATTTAGTAATTTGTTGTCACATTTTATTTAAAAAAATCAAAAAAATGTATTTAAGTTATTTATTATCAAATATGCACTTTTAAGGCCACTATAAATCAAAAGAAATTTACTTAAATCTATTTGTTAACTGAAATAGGCATTATCAAGTCAGTAAAGCCAATCACAAATTTTTTCCCCATAAAATTTTTTTGCAATAACATACAATCAACCCTAAGAAAAATGAGGTAGGCAATAATTTGCCGGCCTCAATCTTTTTGAGGTCGAAATATGTTCAGCAAAAATTATTTGATACAAAGGTCTGACCATAAAACATAGAAACGAGGTCAGCAATTTATGCTGACCTCAAACACTTTCAGGTCGGCAGTTAGGTCGGCATTTCCAAATGCTGACCCTAATTCCGAGGGTTGCATACAATATAATGGAAGGAATTCAAAAATATCATATAGATCTTATCACTTAGACCTGCACAATTTATAGTTTTCAACAACACAATATAATTTTACAATTTTTGTAGTGAAATTATATACATTAGAGTTAAATCAACAAATTTAAAAAAAAACTTAAAATATTTAATTTTTACAAGTAGATGTAAAGATTTCTAGTGAAAAAATAGTTTCTATTAACTTTTGTTTGGAATAATTTTAGGTCAAATTAATAGTAAAATTGATATTAGGTATATTTTTATTTTATAACATAAGTAAAAATACATAAAATAATGTTTTGATTTTCATATGTATAAAAGATTGCAATTTTAATAGTTTGGTGCCCTTTACAAAAGTATTATGATTTACATTTTAAAATGATAAAAATTAAATTAGAACTGCATTAGAAACTTGTCTTTAAAAAATAAGCAAAGGGCACCAAAAGCCAAATAGAATAGACATTTATTGTTAAGTGTTCTGGATTTCAACGATCAACCATGTTATGAAATCTTAGTTAGTCTAAAACAGGTTTTGTATCCTTAAATATTGTGAAGTACAGAAAAGTGATCCCGAATCATTAGCAATATTTTAAAAATATTCATTTTTATTTCGTTTAATGTAATTATTTATTTAACAAATAAAGGTATTTTTTTTATTTGAAGATGAAACTGTTTATAGAAAAAAAAATACTAATATTTTTAAGTTAGTGAATTTTTATACTTTTTATGCTGAAATACTTTTTTTTTAATAAACTTTTGATGTCAAGCTCACTTTTATATTGAGTGAAACAGCTATGTAGTAATTTAAGAATATTATTGTTAACAATTATTTTTGTTATTTTTTGTAATTATGAAACAGTTTTAGTTTAGTAGTAATTAATAGAAATTAATTTTAAGTTATTAAATTTAATAACTTAATTAACTTAATAGTAAAAGTTTTTATAAATAATATATAGAACATGATTTAAAGTTTATATATTTAATTAAATTTTTTTAATTTACTAAATATGAAAGTGTTTAAATATGCATATTTATGTAGGTGTGTAAATGCATACTGAATAAATTGTTATTTAGTCTTGATTTTATTTTTATCAAATAATAAGTTATTTAGATTTAATTTTTATCAAATAGCAAGTTATTTAGTATTACTTGTTGATAAATTTCACAAAACTAAGTTCTAAATAAATAACTATCTAAATAACTACAATTTTTACATTTTCTAATTTTCAAATTATATTTAGTTAAATTAAAGTATTTACCATTATGAAATCACCTGCGGAAGCTTTAACTGCTTGTAATATTTAAATGTTTAGCAGTAATATTTTAGTGTGAAATAAGAATATGCTACTTTGTTCATGGTGTTATTTTTAGTTGAATACTTATATTAATTTCGAAGTTTATTACTTTCAAAGCTAAAAAACATTTTTTTTCTATATTAGATTGTTAATAAAAAATGTTTCATTATTATATTTGTCTTTATTACAACTTAGGGTAATTCAACATATAAGACAGACAATTCTTTAAAAGAAAACTCTGATAACACTTTAAAGGAAAACTCTGATAACACAAGAAGTTCATATTCAAATGTTGTTAAAAAAAGTGTTCCTCAAAACCGTGATAACACTCAGGATCCGAATAATAATGATAATAATAACAAAAAACTTGGACAGTAAGTAGTTGCAATGATTACTAATTTGTTGTGTTTTTTAAGCTTGATAATGAAATGCCTTTTTTAAAGATTTTTTAAAAAATCAGTAGATTTCAACTTTTTTGTTACACCTTAATAATAATTGTAGTAATAATAATATAATTATTACTTATATTATAATAGTATAATTATTAATAATAAAAATACCAGTATGACGTGATATGACCAAAAACCTTTTTTCCTTCTTTAAAGTCAACATCAATACAATGAAGATAAAGAACAAAAAACTAAAGAGAAGACCAAACAAAAAGCAATTCAACTGTATAAATTTATGCTGTTTTTAATTTGTAATGAAGTTTTAAAATTAAGCAATCAAACAAAATATTATTTGATATTATTTTAAAAAATCATTTAGTTTTAATGGTGACCTGCTCAACATTTAAGTACCAGATCATAACAAGATTTTAATATGTTTTTATATTTGGGTGAAAAAAGAAATAGATGACCTTTATATAATGTTTAGTCATAAAGATCTTGGTGATTGGAAAAAACCTACTGTTCGCATGAAATGTCAAAAAGTATTTTCTGACAATAGGTGATTTGCTTAATTATTTGCATTTCTAATCAGAAATATTTATGTATTGTATTTTGGTATTTCTTTTAAAATTCAAAATTTTTTGTTTTGTTTTGATTTTTATTGTTTATTTTTTCAGAAAATGTATATTTTGTTTAAAATTTTTAAAATACAATAGTTTTTACAATTTTTTCTTAAGTATTTACTTAATTATTATAAATTTATGTCTTATTACTACTTTAGTAAAAACTCGCTTGGCTATCTTTACAAAGGTGATCTAGTTTGTTCAAAGGAAATATTTAGAATTAAAAATTCTATAGAGTATATATATGCAAATTTTCTTGACTTTATTTTGTTTACTTTTGATGCCTTTAGTAAAGCCTCGTTACTTATTATTTTTATTTTTTCAGTTTGTTAAAGTTAGTATTCTGCTTTGCTCGAAAACGGCAAAGTACTCCAACACATGCAGATATTGAACATGCAGTTGAAAAAAATTTTAGCGGACTTCAGGAACTTGATACATGGAGTATCTTTAAATCATGTCTTCCATATGATTTTTCTGTGGTACTTAAATGCACTTTTATTTTTATTTAAAAACTTTTACTTTTCGTGTTAAAAATAAGTCATATAGATAATTTATATCAAATATCATTTAGTCAAAAGATACGGAGGCAGATATTTCTGCATTGCGTTTAATTGCTGATAGTTTTGCTGATGTATGTCCATGTTATGAATATCGTTTAAATTCTGAAAAGACTGATAAAGCACATTGTTTAAGTTCTCGCTATCTTTTGTTAATGACCGATGATTATGCTGCTTTACCAATAATTGAGCAGCATTACTTGAAACCCAATTAAAAAAGTACTGTCATTTTCGGAAGCAGCTTTCCTAAGGACCAACAGTTTACTCAGGTATATAGTTTTATAATTAGACTTTTATATTTAATTTCTTTTAATATATATATATATATATATATATATATATATATATATATATATATATATATATATATATATATATATTAGGGTGTCCCAAAAAACAACTTTTTAAAAAATAATCTGCTCTCACCCTCTAAATGTGTTCTATCTAATATAAAAACACTAAGTTTAAATTTTTTTTTAATAAAAATAATTTAAAGGGTCCCTCAAGACCCTCGAATATTTAATGGGTCCCTAATATTTTCAAAAAAAAAGTTTCTAAAAATTATGTCAACCTGGTACTCAAATGAAGCGAAATTATATAAAAATTTAAAAAATAATGTTCATTTCAGAAAAACAATACGTAACGATATTTCCCTTAAAATATTCAATATTTGCCAAAACAAAAAACAATTTCCTGTAAAAAAATCGCAGATTTCGTTAAGAAAAGGAAAGATCCTCAATTTTCAATTTGGGCAGCGCCCAAATACAGTCGGCGCTGCTGAAAATGGTCTAGAATAGCCCCTATATATATATATATATATATATATATATATATATATATATATATATATATATATATATATATATATATATATATATATATATATATGAGTCAGTTTTATTATGTTAACCATGTATAATTATAATATATTATGCTGAACATTAAGTTTAATGCTGAAGACTAGTGTATTTTGTATTTGGTATTTAATGGGACTTTGGTTTTGTGGTATGATTAATATAATTTTTTGCTCACAATCAAAAGGTTCATAGTTCAAATTCATTGTATGCCTCAGAAAGTTCCACGCTCTTCCCTGTTACTCTGCCAGTGGCCTCGTTTACATGGTTCTTTGTTTTTTTTTAATGAGAGTTTCAGATAAAACTAAAAAAAAAGAAGAGTCCTTGACTTCTCTCTCTGGAGTCTTGGGAAAGTGGTTTTAATAAAAATAAATATTAAAATAAGTGATCACACATCACTTGCATAATTATTTTGTATTAATAAAATTGTTTAATAGCTAAAAATTTATAGACAGTTTACAATTTGCATAGTTTTAGTGGAGATGGTCAGAGTTTCTTCACCATATTACAGTAAACTTATTTTATAATTTTAATTTACATATTTATTTCAAAGACATTTTCATACAAATAGTTGTCACTTTTTCAATCAAATGGTACTACTTATTTTATGTAATTAATACTGAAAGTGCTAGTGTCAAAAATTTAATTAAGATTTCTTAAAAATGAAAGAACAAAAATGTATTTTATATATATATATATATATATATATATATATATATATATATATATATATATATATATATATATATACACACACACTCATACAAAACCATACAAAATATAAAGTTGTTAAACAGTATTTAAATTCATAAAAAATCAATGAAAAGCACTTTAGTTATATAAAACAGTTTATTAAATGATTGATCACACTTAACCGAAAAATACCATTGAATACATGTATTTAGCATTAACTTAACATTTTGGGAAAAGGAGACTTGTAGTATATATATTGTATAATATCATAGTCATAAGAAATAAGATCTGTCTGATAAGATAAGTCTGGCCACTTGCGGTATTTCTTTGATCAACTCTTTGTTTGCATTTTTTTAGTGTCCAGTCCGCCGCAGAGTGCACAAAATTTATTTTCATCGATTGTTTTTCTATGAATTGCTTGTCTAAATTTTGTATCTTGTTGCATCTTCTTCATCCAATACTTTAAATGCCTGGTGCTAATTGTTCTATGCAGTACTTCTCGGAGGCATGAGGGAGTTTCAATATTTAAAGTTCCTGCATCTAATGATAGTTTTAATACTTCTTAGAGGGAAAATTTAATAGCCATCATTCTTAAAGATCGTGTTAAAGATATAAATTTGAAGGCTCAAATAGAAAGAAAGTGTGTGTTTATTTGTGAAAAGCATTATATTCCAGAAATGATACTTCATACCGACAACAGAAAGTCACTAAAACCTGGATCATTACCGACTTTGTGTCTTCCAAAAAAAAGTTTTATGTCATCAATTCCTATACAAAGGGAATCTGCATCTTCTATCGTTGCTAATAGAGATGCTTCAATGGTTTCAAATAGTATTATTACCTTTAAACCTATATATAAATCATACGAAGAGTTCCTAAATCGCATTAGTAAGATAAAGATTTGTGACTGGACAGTAAGTGTGAGTCCTGTTGTGGCAGAGTTTAAACTTTATGACACAATCCACTTATGTCCTCGATATGAAATATATGTTGATGACAGTCTTGCTTTTACCATTCATGTATATTCTTGGCTCATTCCAGATGATCATTCAATATATGCAAAATACAGAAGATCAATGCGACATATTTCAGTTTCAAATCTTATTTCTGTTGTTACTTCTTTTACCCTTTGTTCTGGAATAACTGATGTATTTGCTTTAAAATCAAATCTTTATATTAAACATTGTATTTCAAAAAAGTTTGATTTATTTTCATCTAGGAGTGATTTTCCCTTAAATCAGACAGAGTATTTTCGATCTCAATCATGTATTATGCTGATTGAGTTAATGTTATGCTGTTCTCAATGCAAAAGGATTGAAAAAAGTGAAATCATAAGTTTGAAAAAAAATGTTGCCAATGCTTGTATCCCTGCTAAATTAAATGCACCAATTAAATTAACATCTACAGATCGTCTGAAGCTTACATTACAGAGTGTTTGTCTGGAAAATAAAGAAATAAAAAAGGAATTAGCTTTGATGAAGCAGGAGATTGAAAATTCATCACTAGCTATAAGTAAAAGTATTGAAAGCGATTTAGTTCAAATAATGGCAGGAACTGATAAAACCCAGGTTTCTCCATTAATGAGCCTGTTTTGGGAAAAGCAGCAAAAATATTTTAAAAGCTCAAAGCAAGTGATTTGCTATCATCCAGCAATAATACGTTACTGTTTGGGATTAGCTGCAAAATTACCAGCTGCTTATGAAGCAGTATGGTTAAATGAGAAAACAATTCTGGTTTCTTAGTTTTACCAAATCGTAGGCAATTACGTGACTATAAAAATTATGTGAAGCCAAAGTTGGGGTTTAATAAAAATATAATAAAAGAATTAAAAGATAAAGTCGAACATTTTTCAGCTCAAGAAAAATTTATTGTCCTAGTTCTTGATGAAATGAAAATTCAAGAAAATCTTGTTTGGGACAAACATTCTGGAGAATTAATTGGTTATGTTGATTTGGGCGATTCTAGTGTTAATTTTGCAACATTACAGCAAGCAGACAAACTTGCTTCTCATGTATTAGTTTTTTTAATAAGAAGTATTGTAAATTCTTTCAAATATAGTTTTGCAAACTTTGCTAACTATAAATATTACATCAGTGCAATTATTTTCTCTATTTTGGAAAGCTGTAGGCATTTTAGAAATCTCTGTTGGCCTAAAAGTAGTTGCAGTTACTTGTGATGGAGCATCATCAAATAGAAAATTTTTTTAAATGGATTTTGATCTGAATGAGAAAGTAGATAACAATGGTCATGTTAATGTGACCTACCACACTGAAAATTTATTTGCTGATGATGGTGATAAAAGATTTATTTATTTTATTTCTGATGTCCCTCATTTAATTAAAACAGCAAGGAGCAGCCTTTATCATTCTGGAGCTGGTAAAAGCAATCGTTATATGTGGAATCAGGGTCAACATATTTTATGGTCTCATATAACTGATTTGTTTTATGAAGGTTTGAAATGTCAATTGCATGCATGTCCAAAGCTAACTGTTGAGCACATCAAAATAAGTCCATTTTCAGCTATGAATGTTCGTTTAGCTGCACAAGTTTTAAGTAATTCATGTAGTACTGCATTAGAAATCTATGCACCATCAGATACTTCTGGAACTGCACAGTTTTGCAAATATTTTAATGATTTTTTTGATTGCTTAAATGTTCGTAATACAAATGATTATATATTAAAATGCAACTCATTTTTGAAACCATTTTCTGATACAAATGATGTTCGATTTCATGGCTAAAAGAAAATTTTTAAAAATATCTTTCTGATTGGCTTTTTTCTATGGAATCAAGACCTGGAAATTTTTCAAAAAGTGATAGAAGTAATATGTTTATTACTTGGCAAACCCATGAAGGTTTAAAAATCACAGTTAATTTTGTTGTTGAACTTATCAAATTTTTATTTAACAATAATCTATGTTATGTATTAATTGAAAGGTTTTGTCAGGATCCTTTAGAAAATTACTTCGGACAACAACGGTCAATTGGTAGAAGAAAAGATAATCCTTCTTTGTTTGATTTTGGATTCAATGATAATACTATTCGAAATCAACATATATTCCACCCAATTGCAGGTAACTGTCTGAGTTTTAATGAATCAAACAAAACATTAATGGAGGAGAGTATGACACGTATACCATGCAAAAAATGGACTTCCTCTGAAAAATCAAATGATAAAAAAAGTTGATTTTTGAATCAATTTAATAAAAAAACTTTCTTATGTCTCCTTGTACTGCTGATAACAAATAATTTTTGTATGAAAACAGCTATTTTCATAGCCACAAATCTTTTAAAAAACTTTAAATGGCATAAAATATTGATTAGTTAATTGAGAAATAGTTTGTTTAAATAATAAATAAAAAAGTTTATTTTGCAGACTTACTTTTTTGTTTGTTTTACTTTTGCTACAATGTAAACAAGCACCTAGCTCATGAAATTTGGTTTAGGATCCTCTAAAATTAGAAAAAAGGCTCCTAAATTTGCAGCCTTACCCCCTATTTGGGAGCATGGGAAAGTCTATTTATGTGTAATGGTTAGATCACTTGCATTAGATGCAATAGATCTAAGGTTCAATGCCTACTCTTATCTATTGTATATTATTTTGCATATTATCTGTAAATTAAGAAACCTTAACAGAACCTTTTATTTGACACCTATTCAATTGGGTATATGGTGTCATAATTTAATCTTGATCCAGTTCAGCTTGGAGCCTCCTTTATATATATGATCTCACAAGAGAGGACTAGAGTTTTTCTCCATAAAAATATAATATTTTTCTAAGACTATAAACTCAAATTGTTTTTTGAATGTTTGTTTTTAGACTTTGATATTTTCAGTACTAATTTCATTTAAAGTTTTGAATTCGATGAAAATGACTGCACCTAAACATTTTTGTTTTAAATATATTTCGATATAATTATATATTTACAATATTTCGTTGACTGATATTTAAAACAAAAAAGCTTATATGCAGTCATTTTTATTAAATTCAACATATATAAATGTTGTATAACAAGAATTTAAAAGATTTATAGTTTATCATATCAATCTGGGCCTCAAAAGAGCAATAATTTTAAATAAAAATAAATTGCTTAAATTTCTTTTTAAACAAAAATTCTGGTTCTTTTGAAACCCAGGTTGATATACTTTTGAAGAAAAAAAAATTCACTGGGACCCAGAGTGTAATCAAGGGTCATGGTGGGTGATCTCAAAAAATAAATAAAACCAATGACTTATCAGATACTTTCAAACCAAAGTTCATCTATTTTATATACAGGAAACTGGAGATACCAAAAATTTACCCTAAAGTCAACAGCCTAGTATATATATATATATATATATATATATATATATATATATATATATATATATATATATATATATATATATATATATATATATATATATATATATATATATATATATATATATATATATATATATATGAAGAGTTTATTTTCAAAACGCGGTATGTGCTATTTTGTTTTGATGTGCTGATCTGTGTAATGTTTAATTAATAAAAAGTTTTGCACATGAAAGTGGAATTAATTATTATTTATATGTTTATTTATAATTAATAAATTTTCAAAGTTGTTTGTATGTATAACTATTTGTTACTATTATTTATTTTTAGTTTTGAGAATTACTTAAAGTTATTTATTTAAGTTGGCACATAAAAACAAAATTGCACATACCGCGTTTTGAAAATAAACTCTTCATTCTTCATATATATATATATATATATATATATATATATATATATATATATATATATATATATATATATATATATATATATATATATATATATATATATATATATATATATATATATATATATATATATATATATATATATACATATATATATACATATATATATATATATATATATATATATATATATATATATATATATATATATAATATATATAATATATATATATATATATATATATATATAAAATAATAGTATGTTATATCAGGAATCAGAGCAGAAAGTTAGTCTGAAAATATTTGTTTATTATATATTTAGAACTGTGTGTTTATTATAACTTTGTACTACATTTTGATAAGGGTTTTTTAGGGTTAAGGTCTTAAGGGTTTTATCTATTCCTTATTGAAACAAACAAAAACTTTTTTTTTAATTAATATTTTTTATGACAAATAACAGTGTTACTAAGCCAAGTATGCTTTTATGAAATTTGTGGCTATGAAAATAGCCGTTTTTGAATGTGATATTCTATTAAACTATTTATTCCAATCCAATTGATGTCTTTTTCATTTTTGAACGGAGTGATTTTGACTTTGTTTGATTCTCTTTAAGTTTGTGGATACTTAGTTTTTCTTTTGCATATGAAAAAGATCTTACTCTAACATAAAGTGTAACCAGATGATAAAATAAGTTTAAAGACGGTTCTTTGGATACTTGATTTGTGCAAAGACTACGAAGTTCAAATATGCTTGCCATCACAACGCAGTTTTTTAAAATTTCGGTCACAATCAGTTCTGAATCAATTTTTTTTACTAAACCATTACTTTGTTGGCGAAAGAGAACCTCAACTTTTGTAAAGATTTCTTTTGTAAAGACACTTTCCACAAACCACCTCGATTTTTAGCATTAACAAATTTATGGTAAGACTCATTGGATGTTTCAGGATTCTTAACAAAATGTTCTATTTTACCAGCATTAAGAAGTGAAAGGCAGTCTGTGCCTAACTTTTCCTGCCATAACCGTGAACTGCGAATTCTGCAATAAAATGTACTGAATACATAACCACTTAGATACAAGATAATTTCTTTATCTCTATCTGAAAGTTCAACAGACGATAAATCATTTAAATTTATAAAAGAATTATTGTAAAATGAGTTTGTAAGAAACGCTAAAACATGATTGCATAGTTTATAGCCAAGAAGTCTAGTTGTTTTTTTAGTCAGAATGTTATTGAAAATTCCTTTATCACAAATAATACTTTAGTATAATTGAGGATAAAATTTTTCTGCATCGCCATTAGCTTTAAAACCAGCTATTGTTGTCTCTAAAACAGATATAGTTTGTTGTGAAGTTTCTAACAGCATTGCATGATTAATTCTCAACTCGTTTCCATACAAATGAGGATAGCATTCGTCGTCAATTAAGGTAGTAATGCTTTTATCGAGTAGGTTTTTAAATTCGCTAAGAAGAATAAGTGGTTTAGAATTTTGTTATGTTAAATCCAAAGGAATACTTTGATGTTTTGAATTTGTATGCCTTGTTAGGCCTCTTTGAGATATGCACTTTTTAGAGCAAATTGTGCAAGAAAATGCACTTTTAACTGATTTACTAGACAACTCCAACACCAAGGCGTCTAAATCCTTATTAAAATTTTCGTCTTCAAAAAGAAAATCATTTTCCAAAGAAAAATATAATGTTTCAATATCAAATTCACCATTGAAATCTATGTCCGTTTCCATATTTTGTGCACTCTGTTCCCGGCCGTTCAACAGTTTTCAAGTGTTTTTAACGAATATTAGAAAAATTACATAATACGACCCGAGTGATCAGACTATCTATTTCTTATGACTATGATAATATGTATATATTTTAGTGGTATCTTTAATTATTTTGGTGTAATAAGTTTTGTGTTTGACTTTATTTACTTTTAAAGGTATGTCGTGATATAAATAGAGTTAAGATATGTATGGAGACTGGCACTAGAGTTGTGTTGTTAAACATGGAAAATTTATATGAAAGTCTTTATGATACATTAAACCAGGTATATTTATGTGGTTTTTGTTTCTGTTTTTGTTTTTTAACACTTAAATATATTTTTATCTTTAGTGAAAGCGTTTTATGTGTGTGTTGTTAAAGGAATAGTTAGACATTTAATTGAATAATAATTAATCAGTAAACCACAAAAGCATATATTTAAATAATGTATCAAATTTGTATAAAATTTATTTTTTTTGTTTTTTACATTATCTTATTTAAACTTCTTTTTAAGTTATAACTTCTTTTCAAGCTAATACTTCTTTTTTTTTAAATAATTTTTTTAATAACTTTTTTTTAAAATATAGCATCAAAAGCGTTTTCTAACAATTTTTATAATTTAAGTTTTCAAAATTTTATTTTAAACTGTAATTAGTCAAATTTGTTTAATTTTTTAAAAGTATATTTTTTATTATCTTTTCATTGGTAATAATTGGTTGCCTAAAATAGCTATCCTGAATGCTATTGTTTGTAATACTGTCAGCTAAAGCAGTATCCAGAATGAAAAATTGTTTTATGTTTAGTATTATGTATCACTTGGAGGAAAGAACTATGTAGATTTAGGCATTGGAACTCACAGAGTTAAATGCAGAGTGCATGAGGATTTTAGGTGAGGTTGTTAATAATGTTTTTTTTTCTTCATATTTTTATATATAAATATTGTTCTATATAAAAATCATTTTGCTATACTCTATGGTGTTTCTATATATTTTCTATGTAATTTTTCTAGCCTGTTACATTTTCTTTATATAATGTAGTTTTTTAAGATATATATATATATATATATATATATTTTTATATTCTTTTTTTTTTTATATATTTTATATAAGATATAGTTTTTTTTATATTCTCAGTGAACTAATTTACTGTAAATTTAGACTTATAGTGATTGCAGATAAAGAAAATGTACAACACCTTTCCTATACCTTTGATAAATAGACTTGAGAAACATTTTTTAACTGTATTGAATGGAATGAAACAGTCTCAGATAGAACTTGCTGAGAAGCTTAAAAGATGGGCTACAGATTTTTCTAGCATAAACTCACTCACGTAAAAATTAACTTTGTTAATGTCAATTTTTTTATTTTTCAATTATTTAAAGTTGAATTATTATTTGAGTTAATTTATATTAACCATTTTAAATCATATATATATATATATATATATATATATATATATATATATATATATATATATATATATATATATATATATATATATATATATATATATATATATATATATATATATATATATATATATATATATATATATATATATATATATACATATATATATCTGTATGTTATGTGTAATGCAGCATTAATAAAAATTTATAATTTATAGAAAAAGGTTGAGACGTAATTGAATGATGAGTAACACAGGAATTAATTAAAGTAGATTGCACAAGAGCCGCTAGCTCTTTAGAGCAGTGCCCATTATAGTATTTTTAGAAAAGAGAAAAAGAAGCAA